CCTGCTGAATTTCCAGTACCTAGCTTATAGGATAGCCCTGCCCCCCAACTAAGGTGAACTTCATGTTCCCTGAATGCATTCACACCTTGACTACTAACCTCCCACAATAGTTATTTTAAAATATCTATGAAAGTAAAGCCAAACTATGACCCAGACACTGTTCTATTGGCTGAATTCTTCATATAACAGTGTGAATGGTGGACTTTTCTTAAACAGCTAGATTTATGCTTTCTACTCAGTTTTCTAGAACTTAATGATATGTTGTTCAGGAATACACAACAGGTATTAAAACTATTAAGAAAAGAGAGGGAGGTATTGACATGGTTAGGAAAGACCACTGGGTAGAGTTGTGGGCTACAACTGGGGAGGGGCATACAGGGGCCTTCTATAATGTATAGTGATATTTTATTTCCTTAAGCTAGGTGATGGAAAATGAGTTTTTACTATTATGGGCCTTTAAATTGTACATATATTTTATACACTCTTTGATCTGTACATTAATAATTGGAAAGATATTAACATGGTCTATGTCAATGAAAAAAATATGTGAGGCAAACATCAGCAAACCGCAAAGTATATTTTTGCTCTATTTAATGGTAAATTTCAAGGCTAAAAACTTTACCTGCCGAAGGTATAATTTCAAGACATCACAGATGTCATGTGAACTAAATTCTGAAATGTCTACCAAGTGCATTCCATTTTCCAATGCTTGACACAGTTTTTCAGTTTTTATTTTGTTTCCACATACACGATAAATTCCCTTGAGAAGAAAAGAGAAAAAATTTTGCAAAATTCTGCTTCAGTACAAATGATTAAATGCAGACCTCTAAATATACTTAATGTCTACTTCAATTCTAAATATTTTAGGAAAAAACTAGGACCAAATGAGGTAATATTTTCCAAATAAATCTGAATAAATTCAGTTATTTAGTAAAAACTGAGAGCATTGTTCTCCTTTAATGTCTCCTTATCATTAGAACAAATCACATTTACATTTAAAAATTTTTAATTTTAAAAGTTATAATGTACCTGTAGACACAAGGCTCTATTTTCAATCTCTGAGGCACATATTTTGAGTACAAAAGGGATGCCATCTGGTTCCTTTTTTGCAACTTGTGTGAATTCTGCTCCAAATAAGTGTATTTTCCCCAGAAGTTTCTGATGACCACAAATGATGACTAAATTTTCCAAACACTTTCGGTGACAAACAAGGAGACACTACAAGAAAATGAAAGTCTAAAATGGTTAACTCACCTTAAAACTATTCACAACTGGACGAACTACAGGTAGAGTGGTAACAGAACAAAAATGAGTTTAAAAGGTATTGCTTGTGGTGTTTGAAATACATTTACTAGCAAAATGAAATATGAAATTATAGAAAATACACCGTGGTTCAATTTATTAAAAATACATTTGCAGGGCTTCCCTGGTGGTGCAGTGGTTGAGAGTCCGCCTGCTGATGCAGGGGACACGGGTTTGTGCTCCAGTCCGGGAAGATCCCACATGCCACGGAGCGGCTGGGCCCGTGAGCCATGGCCGCTGAGGCTGCGTGTCCGGAGCTGGTGCTCCGCAACGGGAGAGGCCACAACAATGAGAGGCGGTGTACCACACACACACACAAAAAACATTTGCAAAAGATCCTAATCGGTAGAATGAATAACAAAAAGCATTGCTCCAAGCAAAAAGCATAAAAGGGCTAATGTAATTCCAGAAAGACCTCACCTCTTCGCATTCAACACCCTGGAATACCACAATGCCTTCACAGTCCCTGCACTTCGTGGGGGATCTCAGTTTGCGAAACTTGTGAGTGAGAGCTGCCTTTGACATCAAAGTTTTCTTAAATGTTCCGAGGGAATTGGGTCCTTGTAACAGAAGTAGAATAGTACGTAAGAACTGTAAGACTACAGAAAAATTATACCATATGATACTACATTTAAAAAAATCTTTAAATACGATTACAAAAAGCTCTTACTATAATAACAAAATAAGCATCCAACTTACAGATCTCTTACAAGGCACACATATGTCAAACATTTAAGCTACGAGTAAAAATCACCATCAGACCAATAAGATACTTCTAAAATAGCATGGCATAATGTTTCCAGAATCAGCGAATTTACAGTTATTAACACGTCCTTTATTACACAGGTGGCATTACATTCTTAGAAAATGACGCTTTGAAAGCTTGGAATAAAACTAGCTATATGAGGTTAGTGTGTCAGCATTATTTGCGTTAAAGATAAAGCTATTCTCAATTCATTACAAAATTATAAGTAATACTAGCTAGTTATCTATCAATATCCTACCAGAGGGCTTCCCTGGTGGCGCAGTGGTTGAGAGTCTGCCTGACAATGCATGGGACACAGGTTCGAGCCCTGGTCCGGGAGGATCCCACATGCCATGGAGCGGCTGAGCCCGTGAGCCACAGCTGCTGAGCCTGCGCTCTAGAGCCTGCAAGCCACAACTACTGAAGCCCACGCGCCTAGAGCCCGTGCTCTGCAGCAAGAGAGGCCACCGCAGTGAGAAGCCTGCGCACCGCAACGAGGAGTGGACCCCGCTCGCCGCAACTAGAGAAAGCCCACGTGCAGCAACAAAGACCCAACGCAGCCAAAAAAAAAAAAAAAAAAAAAAAAAGTCCTACCAGAGGTCAGATGTTCTTATACTATTTAAGAAAATGATACCAGAACAGGTATCTGGAGGTCTCAAATGAAGCCATTAACGTGACTTCTCTTTTATACCCTTCGGCATCCACAACTTTCCCTGCCCTCGAGAAGTACATGTATTTACTTTTCCCGCCTAGCTTCTTACACTATTTCTTTTGAAGAAGCTTTTCTCATATAGAAATTCTCATGATTAGAATGTCTCATGTATTGCAACACTCTGAACAATTAAGTCACTATTAGATTTATGAAAGACCACAATATCTAGCCTATTTTATCAACACGCTAATACATTTTGGCTCCAGTGGTTTTGCTGTTTATTCTTATATTTTTACTTGTAACATTTGATCAATACATTATCAACCCATACTTGTACATAATTTGTTGGGATATATTTAAGCCACCATAATGCCTTTTTTAAAAATACACAGTAAAGGAATTCTTTAAATCATACTATTTTTTCCCTAATATCACGCAATCCTACTGATTCAACTGGTTTAGTGGAAACTTGATTCAGGTGAGTGTAATACCAGCTTCTGAAGGGGAAGGTGGCTCTCTTTCATCCAGATCATCTGCAGAAGACATAGTTCCACTGGATGGAGTTCGTGGAAGTTTTCGATGGAAGTCTCCTAAAAGAAAATTCATTGTAGAATTTAAGAAATGGGCAGTGACAACATTTTTTGAATAACGCACGTCATACTATTATATTAGCTACAATGTAAACATTTGCTTCCATTCACAGACTTTGGATACAGGGGATTCTGATACTCTTGGGAACAAAGGAGAATTGAGCCAAATGTGACTTTTCCAAATAAATTTAAAATTGAGGATCACACATTCCAATGAACCTTACTGTCAACTTCTGATAGTAAGTTCTAGAGATTATAAACTCAAGGACAGGGAGTATTTTCTATTCAAGTCTTATATCTAATGTCTGACAGAATAGCTGGCACAATGGTAAAGTTGTCATTAAATGCTTGTTGAATTAAATGATAAAGAAATACTTACAATGTAACCTAAAGCTTTCTAAAATAAACACAAATCTACAAATATAGCAATACAATAGTACCATCACATTTATGTTGCCAGTAAGACAGAAGACCAGGAACCAGGACCAATGATCCTGGCAGGGAGCAGAGCATGGGATACAAGCTGTCAGCCAAGGACTCTGCCATGTGTCTCAAAGCATGTTTGGAAGCAGCCCGACCAGGTAATGAGGTTTATTTGCTCCCTGCTGATATTACACACAGGGCTGTGTCTAAGTGGAAGGTTACACTTAACTCAAGCCCTTAACAGTCTTAGGTTCAGAGTTAGAAAGGGCTTTACAAATTATTTAAACCACATCTCTCCCAAAAGATTCCCCCTGCCTTCAAACTATGCTTAAAAGGCGGTCATCTAGTTTTTGTTTTGAATGTGTCCTCCAATGACTAAGAAATCATGAGACCACATGCTCATTTTAGAACTATTCTAACTGTAAAATGACTTCCTCGTATTGCTGAGCAGAAACCTGCCACCTATAAATCCCAGCTCTTGGTCACATGTCTCCCTAAAGGAGCAAACAAGCACGCTGACTCTCACCCTTTTACACTTCAATGTCTGAGAACAGCTGTCACGTCCCCAGGTTTCCTCTTTCTCAGGCTATGCATCCCTCAGTCTTCACCCATTCATCATGCGACCAGTTTCCAAATTTTTGTCTTTACCACATGAAGTCTTACAGGATTCCAAATAATTTACAGCTGGCTCTAGACTGTCTCTTAATTTCTGGGGATAGCTAGAACCACTCTGTTTTTACAAAGCTAATTACAAATATTCAGTTAAATATTTAGGATTGCATCTCCAGAGTGTCCCTGAACAGCAATAATTTTAAAGTAGGACTCAAAGTAGTTGCTGACAATCTGCCTATAAACCCCAGTACGGCATGGAAGTCATTTCTAACTTTAAATTCAAGGGCTTCATTTACATGAATAAAATTTCTGTAATATGTAGAACATCAGGCAAAAAAACAAAGCCTTGGACTCTGAGGTAGGTTAAATCCTAACTTATCTCCCGCAGTGCCAAGATCTTAGGAGAAAGACACTTAGCCAGGAAGAACAAGACTGGGAGAAGTCTCTGGTAGAAAAGCGGAGGAGAAAGAACATTGAAAGTAATAATCTCAAGGGCTCAAGTGACACCTTCTTCTCTTGCTAGCTGTATTACGTCTGGCAAGTTATTCTCTTTGAAGCCACTAAGGGACAGTTCAAAACATCTATTCTGCCACTCTAAGGAGCATGAGACTATCAAAGTACCTTAAAGCACATTTATAAAAAATGAAATTATCACAGGCACAAGAACTGTTGTTAACTGTACAGTTCATTATAGTAATTAACTACAAAACAATCCAAAAGACAGATAATCACATTTACGCTCATAAAACGGAATACTATACAGCATACAGTATACAGTATAAAATAAAGACAGCTTCTCATATCAATATGAATCTCAAAAAAAAGATGCATGAAAGAAGTCACAAAAGAATAGTATGATTTCATCTGCATTACTATTCCAAAGTGGGCAAAGCTCAACTAGATATAAGTACTAAAACATTTAAAATAGCCAGGGAAAGATTAACAAAATTCAGGATGATGGCTCATCTGGGGGGTGATAGAGCAAGGTTATCAAGGAGGTATACATAGGGGCCTTCTAATATACTAATAATGTTTTATTTCTTAGGCTAGGTGTTGAATACATAAGGGTTTGTTCTATTATTTTTATTTAAACTGTACACATATATGTACAAACCCCTCTCTATGAGACAGTTCATTATAAAAATAAAACAGTTATAAACAACAAGGATTTACTGTATAGCACAGGGAACTATATTCAGTATTTTGTACTAAACTATAATGGAAAGGAATCAAAAAAAGTATACAGATATATACATAAATATATGTATAACCGAATCACTTTGCTGTACACTTAAAACTAACACAATATTGTAAATCAACCATACATCAATTAAAAAAAAAAAAAGAAGGTAGTTAAAAATATTCCCCAAAAGGAAAATTTTAATCTGTCATTGAATTTTCACTCTAGACTTAAATACTTATGTACCTGGACTTATAGATTCAGAATCCAGAGATCTAGATTCACTGCTTCCTCCAGTGCTCTCAGAATCACTAAACATCCCAAATGTCCATGACCTTATAAAAGAAGGACCTTTAAGAAAAGAATATTTAAAGTCAAACTTGGCTACAGACAAATTTCATAAGTGTTTCAAAACACTGACATTATTTAAAATGAGACAAGTCAAACTTCTTTAACAGTGTTAAGCAACTGACTGTAAGACAAGCACAGTGCTCACAACTGTGAATAAAACCTCATAAGGTTACAATTCAAGGCCTGACTTTTAAATTCCAGAGCTGCAATTCATTTAATGATCACATTTAAACAATTTGATCTTTCATAAATTAGTGCTCTCTTTAATGTAAAACACTACCTGATATGTCTGCACTGTTAGAGCATCTGTCCTCTTCAATCTTATTAGAGCTGTCAGGAAGGCGCACAACATCTTCTAAAGAGTCGGAAGGTCCATATCCAGGAGTGTGAGGGGTATTTGTTAACTGTTTATTTACATTCCTAAGAAAAACCCAAATAAAACTCATCATTCAGAAGCATGACTACTTTATTCTATTTTCAGGAAAATCTGTTAATTTAATGAACAGAGTAATTAAATTAACTAAATATTAGTAACAAACCATATTATACTGTTGAACTTCTTAAAAGAGATGTGAATAAAACTTATTAATCATTTGTATTTATTACAGCTGAAACACAGAAAAGAATAGCAAAAGTACAGTCTACTATTCATATCATGATTAAACTCTTCTGGTATAACCTGTGTGGAAAATGTAGGTTGTTAAGTTTGTGGACATTCGAAATTGATATGACCATGATTTGCCATTCTCAAAGGATTTCTAAATCTCAAAGAACTGAGCTCTGTGTTAAAATGGAAAACTTTACTCTTAAGTGAGTCACATCTTAAATAATATTTTAAAAATTCAGAAGGTTCTAAAGTCAATTCTACCAGTGTTAGAAAAAAACACCACCTGACACCAGATAGGAAACTTAGGAGTAAAGGTTTTATGCCTTGAAATAATTTCACCTAACATTAATTCTCACCCATCAACTTTTTCTTCCTCAGCTGAATTCGTGGCCCTGACAAACTCACTGTACTCCTGGCCTGGGTCATAGAGTTTGGCACCATCACAGAGAGACTGTAAATTGTTCGCGAGGGAGGCAGCCTGCAGGTGTTGCATCTGGAAGAGGTTAACTGTTACCTGTGGGAACAGATAGAAACAAAAGGCAACGTAACTCATGTTATAGAGAATGCTGCATAAATACACATTTATTTCAAGTGACAGCACCAAGAAAAAGGTCACACAGTGAAGAGCTCAACAGTGAATCTCCTTGAGAGCACACTATGTTGCCTGACTCAGTACCAGGTCTAAATCAGAAAAAAAAAAAAGAAAGTAGTTTTAATCCAATACCTAAGAGCAATCATTTCTGGCAAAACTGGCTTTAATCTGAAACGTTTAAAAGCACAACCCCATGTCCCTAATGGTTCACAATTTTAGGAGACAGATATGCTTTTGAGGATCCCCAGCTCTGTTCTGATGGTCTGACCACAACTGTCTAAACTGAAAAACACGGGGAAAAATATTCCAATCAGAACACTGTTATTGGGCTTCCCTGGTGGCGCAGTGGTTGAGAGTCCGCCTGCCGATGCAGGGGACACGGGTTCGTGCCCCGGTCTGGGAAGATCCCACATGCCGCGGAGCGGCTGGGCCCGTGAGCCATGGCCGCTGGGCCTGCGCGTCCGGAGCCCGTGCTCCGCAACGGGAGAGGCCACAACAGTGAGAGGCCCGCGTATCCCAAAAAAAAAAAAAAAAAAGAACACTGTTATTTTGACTTTCACTTCTTCAATCCTTTACAAATAGAAATGCTTTATACTTATAATGTGTCCTACAGTGCTCAGTTTTTATAATTAGGCACTATCCTGATTCTCTTCAAAATACATTATTCCACTGAATTTCTACAAATGCCTAAATATACTGTCACTACTGCCACTTATAGTAACAACAACAATAGCAGCTGGAGCGTGCTTACAATATGCCAGATCCATTCTGAGAGCTGTACATGAATTAACTACTCTCATGTTCACAGAAACCCAGGCTTTGGGTATACTACGGCAAATAAACAGATGAGATCCCAGCCCTCATAAGAGTCTGCATTTTCCTGAGGGTGGTGTTGGAGAGAGAGGACAAACTAAGTAAATAAGATCATTTCTGGTACTGAAAACTACTACAAATACGACATAATATTGTCAGGTTATGGAATATGACCAGGTATATGCTTGCAGAAGGGTACTTTTGACATGACAGTTTGGTGAAGGACTCTCTGAAGAGGTAACATCTAAACTGAGACCTGATATAAGAAAGAGCCAGTGTGAAGTTTCAGGGAGAAGACCAATCCAGACAAACGGAAGAGGTAGTGCAAAGATCCTAGGGCAAAAGTGAGTAAGAAAGAATTTGTCATGCTCAAGAAACAGATGAAAGGTCAGTGTGGCATTTCAGTTTGAGATGAAGCCAGAAGGGGAAGATGTAATCTAAACCAAGGTAAGGGGTCTGGATTTAAGTACAACTGAAGGAAGCCAGTGGAAGGTTTTAAAAGGGTGTTAAGAGCTATAACATGATCTGATTTATTTTTCTAAATGCCACACCGGCTCCTGTGTGGGAAATGTGAATGAATGCCAAATTTCAACTGGCTTAATGTTATTTCAAAGACTGCCATGTTTCCTCTTTCATCTCTCTTGATTATACCAGATAATATGTTGAACTTCTGATTAGCCTCTAAGTCCTTTCCAAGATAGACAGGCATTCTCCAAGGATAACTAAGAGTCAGCATAAATAGTATTTGAAGAGTGCACATAAATGAATAGCTTGTTTGTGCCCTCTTTCAAGGAACATAGGAAATTCAAACTGTGGATGGTAAAGTTTAAGTCCAGCAATTAGCTACAATCAGGGAATTCTCCAGTTAATCGTAAACTGAACTTACTTTCTTGAGTAAAGGTAACTAACTGTATGTTCATTTTTAATACTTTTTAATAAGCTCTATGAATCCAGTTAGAAACACCAATAATTTAAAAAGCCAAATGAATATACTGGCATAATCACTCATCTGCTGAATGTTTGTCTCTGGGTACTTATTAATAATAAAGACTTAAGCAATAATATATACTGGAAGCCCAATCTTAAAATCTCTTTTCCCTAAATGATTCAGCCTTCTCCCTCACCTAACAGAAATGCTAAAGATTGAGGACCCCATGGGGTAGATCCTACAGGACTTGCTGGGCATCTTAACTGGGGTGGCTCATGGGTACCTCAAAAACGATCATGCCTCTAAGCTCTTTTTGTCCCCCAATCCCTTCCTGAGTCAGGGACTTGGTCCTTTTCTTCTAGGTTCCCAATGTGTGGCACAGTGTCCTAAGTGCTTCATAAAGGGGAAATGACCAAATGAATAGTAGTAGAATGTGTTATCAGTCAAGGTCATACTGAAATTCTGCACATTTCCTGGTACTGCTAACTCAAGCACATAGGACTTCCAACTCTATGCCCAGCTTTTGTCACCTACATCTAATTTTTAGCTATTCCATGGACACATAGATTAGCACACATTTTTCTGACAGTTGTTGAAACAGAATATGCCATAATATCAAATCAATGGGAACAGATTCTCCCATATATATTAGCAATAATCTAAAAATTAATTTTTGTTCAATATAATTTTCTATCCTGTATTTTTTAAAAGATACATTTTTCTTGAATACTCTTTAAAGCAAAAGGAAAAACTTTTGTGCTAATGTTTCCCATTCTTCAAAGCCCATTGATTTGATTAGGTCTTTAGTGACTGACTTGGTAATTTCTCCTTCCTCTCACTTAGTAATGTATTTATGATCTACATCCCATACCCTTCAATACTTCATAATTCAAGACAATTTTGAATATTCAGGAGTAATTCTTGATGTTCATGATATAACTTACAATTTTGCTGGGACATAAAACTGATTTGTGTATCTTTCTTAAGACAGTGAGTGAATATAACTGTGTCTAGCATTTTTACATCTCAAATAATTTTGTTTTCTCTGCAATGATATGCACAATAACATATCCTAGAGTGAAAATAAAATTCTTTTAAAAACAGTTTGAGAGATGGTGTTGCAAAATAAGTCACCAAAATCCCCCAATTCTCCTGCTTTGATGGAGAAGAAAACATAAAGAAATCTGAGAAAATTATGGCTCTTACCTGGGAAAAAACACCAATATTCAAAAACTCAACGTTGGATTTGGTATCTGCTTGGATCTTCATGTGAATATTGCCATACGGAATAAGTAAAACTGACTAAACTGGTTCAAAAGAACTCCAGCTAGTAAGAAATTCTGCTCACAAATATATAGAGAGAAATTTTCTACACACTGTCTCTATACATTACATGCTGTAGTGATTTTCAGGAGTTTGGGGATTTGTTCAAGTTTGGGGAACTTTAACGTCAAAGTCTACTTCATACACTGATATGTACTGCTCTCCAATTTTTCAGATGTATTAATTCTCTCCCCCTAAATAAATGCTAAACTCCTTGAGGGCAGGTATCTGTCTTACATTTCTTTTAAATAAATAGTAGGAATTAATAAATACAGATGTTATATACAAAATTAGGTAACTTCTTGTTTATATCACATCAAATTAAAAGAAATCATAATTGTTGGATCACCAAATAGCATCACTTTTTAAGAGGGAGGTAGACAAACAAGATTAAGCTCGTGAGAGAACTCAAAACCATGTCACATGAAGAAAAGTAATCAGATTTGGGGGTGTTTAGCCTGGAAAAAAACATCCAGGGAGAGGAGGTAATAACTACCTTTAAATATTTAAAGTACTATCTTATGGAAGAGGGATTATATCAGTACAGTACAACTTGAAAGGTCCACAAGAAAACAGATCTTTTTTTAGCTCAATATAAACATCATGTTAATTTTGGAGCTGTTCAAATCCAGGCTAAGTAATCATTCAGCAAGACAGCATAGTATTTAGGAGCACAGGCTCTGAAGTTATTCAACCAGGGTCTATCCTAGCTTTACAACTTACATGCTGGGTGACCTTGATATCAAGTTATTTATAACTTCTCTAAACCTGTGTTTCCAAAAAAGTTAATGTACAAATACATATTATAAGGAATCTTGTTCAAAGTGCAGATTCTGATACCAAAAGTCTAGGCTGAAACCCAAGATTCTGCATTCCTCACAGGCTCCCAAAGGAATGAGAATGTGACTGGTCCAAGGAATACATTTTGAGAAGAAAGGCTTTCTAAGCTTCAGTTTCCTCATCAGTAAAATGGAGCTTAAAACAACTGTTTTTACCTAGTAGGACTCTGTGAAAATTAAATGAGTTAATGAAGGCAAAGAGCTTAAGGCACTGGCAAGCACATAATCTTAGCTACCATTAGCTACTGTTTGAGGTGAAAAGGACTTGTTAAAGGTAAAAGATTGGCTTAAATAATTTACGTGGGAATTTTGGATCCTGGGATTTTGTAATTCTTTTAAATAATTTTACTAAAATTGATTCTGTAAATTAACCACATATTAATTAATCAGAACTTGATAAATAAATGAAATACTATTTTAAAAACCCAGAAACATTTTAAGGAAGACTTCTGATTCAGATGGAATAAGCTCACTTCCCACAGTCTCTCAATGAATTTTCCTAAAAACCCTTGACAGAATGCATGGATTAGCTATCTGAGGGCTCTGAAAAGTAAATGGTAGCAGGTAGACTGTGGAAATAAACTACAAATCAAGGTATGACCAATTAGTGGTATGCTTCCTGTTATTTTTTTTCTGCTACTGTGTTTCCCAGCTAGTACACAGCTCCTACTCAAATAAATGTGACTGCAAGAGTGGGGGAAATCCTTTGGTTTCTTTTGTATGTTTGTTTTCTCTCCTGCCCCAGCCCCCAAGCAAGCCCCAAGCCCTAAGATGAAGTCCTATGGCAGTGGCAGTGATGGCAGTAGCAGCAGAATAGACATCTAAAACTCTTCTCTATAAGCAGAGGGGAATTCTCTATAAGTGGATGAACTGTGGTCTGAAGAGTGAGGGGTCTGAAATTCCTGTTTTTTCTTTCTCTTTATCCTTCCCCTACTTGGCTCTTAAAGCAGCAGACTAGGTTGACTACAGTTTCCCAGCCAGAAGACCTAGAAGGGAGCCCTTAGGAGTTGAAGAGTGAA